CAATGTCGTGGATGTCTCCCTTCTCATACAGTAGAACGGTCCTGCTGGTTTTCTATTGGAACAGAACCTTGCATTCAGACAGGTAGCGTGTGAAGAGCCAAGCCAGTGTATTGATGAGTACTGATGGCAGGTTCTTCAGGTGTTCGTGCTGTTTGCTTCTTTACCGACGAAATGGTATGTTGGATTTTGGAAGGGAGAACATTGGGAATGACATATCCATCCTGCAGAGTTTGGATGTGGGCAGGTGGACGTGGCTATTGAAGAGATCTGAGTAGAAGTCATGGATAATCTTCTCTATTGCCCTTCTGGAAGATGTGATAGATCCAATATGACGTTGGAGGGCAGTCATCTTGGTCTTGTAGTTGGCAAATGACAGATGAGCATTGCGAATGATTTTCCTGGCTTCCACTGCATCTGCCAGCACTGCTGCCCTTCTCTCTTTGAAGTCTTCCTTTATCACTTCTCTGCACTGCTTTGCAAGCTTGGATGTTTGCTTGTGGTTACCTGAGCTTGCGCCAAGGCACGCTGGCGAATGAGCTCGAGAGTTTCTGAAGACAGGCTTTCTCTCTCTTGGTGTTCTTTACACAATCATGGAGATGCTGAACCAGTTGATTGTATTCTTCCTCAGTGTTGTCATTAACGATGTTGCTGCAATAGAGTCAAGAGCTCCCAGTTGGTGGTCATTCTGGGAGTTCTCTTTTTAAACTTTGCCGCCCTTTCTCCCTGCTCTGTGAAGTAGAATTTTGCACGAAGGACACGATGGTCTGATCCCATTTGGAATTTTGGGACAGCAGCGACATTGTTCAAGCAAAATCATTGATTGAATATGATGTGGTCAATTTCATTGTGGAACTCTACACCGGGAGACTCCCATGTCCAATGTTTAGATTCGGCCTTCTGGGTCTGTGAGTTACCATGGATGGTCTTGTTTGACATGATGAACTCAGACAGTCTCTCACCCTGTTCCTTCCATTCTAGGCCATGGGTCTTTATGTGGAGTTCCTTGGCTGATTTTCTCGGTCCTATCTTGGCATTAAAATCACCAACAATGATCTTGTAGAAGGTGTGGTCTTAGACATAGAAGGACTGCATTCATTGGTGGAGTATAAAACAGCATAACATGATGCTGATTAAGGATAGTAGATACACAGGACAGATTGCTGGAAGCCTGCCTCATGAGTAAAGGGGAGAAGCCAGCTGGAATAGAGAAGGGATCACTAAGAGAAAGATAGCTGGAGGAATTGGTCGGGACGGGAGATGTATACAGAAAGTAGATAAAGGAACAAACATGATAACCTCTCAGCGTCTGTATTGGAAACCATAATGTCCAAAAGTAGAGAGAGAGATTATGGGGAATCATGTCTGCCATGGAGGAAGGGGGAGGATGAGAAAGGGGGGTCATACCAGGGATATTGGTGGTGGGGAATGTGCATTTGGTGGAGGGATGGGTGTTTGATCACTGTGTGATTGTAATCCAAATATGAAAGATTGTAACTATCTCAAGGTAATTCAATAAAATTAAAAAAACCAAAGCATGGTCTATTTTATAGAACTTATCCAGCTCCATGTAGAATTTCTCAATTTCTTCTTCATCTCAGTTGGATGTTGGTGCATAGATGACAAAGATAGAAACTGCCTGCAGTGAGCCACATCTGTTCAAGCGTAAGAGTCCGATTCGGGATGTTAGGCATTGGAATGAATCAGAGCTCATGGCCAAGTTTATGTTGACAAGGACACTGACACCACCAATGCCTCTTTTGTCACATGTTCCTCAGAACAGTTCTTCTCCAGGGTCAAAAGTGGCATGATGTGGTTGATGCCTTCTCATCTCGGTCAGACCAGTGCTGTCATACTTGATCTTCTGCGCTTGCACCATCAGGTCCTCGATGGCTGCTTCCAATGTCAGTATATGTGTTTTGAAAGTACAGTCATTTTAGTCCTTCATTTTGGCAGCCGAGTTCGGCCCTGAGATTTTATCAGTCTCTCTTGTTCCTCCTCCTTAACGCTGCCGTATTGAGGGCTCTTTCAGGGTCAAGGGAATGAGGCCCATCGTTTTTACTGTTTTTGGCGTATATAATATGCCACGGGTAGCTTGCCAGGCTCTGCCGTGCAGGCAGGATACTCTGTAGCTTACTGGGCTCTCCGAGAGGAATGGAGGTTTTTAGGGTGGCCTCTAATCATCCTTATAGGTGTTCCCATGGTTTACACCATATTTGAACCCATCACATATGGCGTGGTAATCTTGGAAGATGGGTGTTAAGTGTCTTATGATGTGTCATGTGATTGCAAAGCTGGCAGGAAAGCGGCCTGGAGCGTGGCAGCGGAAGGTTAATGGAGGTAGTGGAGGTCGGCCGATGAGGTATTTATCTGGAAGCGGCAGGGTGGGGCTTCTTGGTGTGATCTCTGGGTCACTGGAGATTGGTGGGAGCAGACAGAGAATCTGTTTCCAGGTCCTCTTGAGCCTGGAGTCCTAGGTCATAAAGTTCCGCTTACCTGATTCTGTGGGGTTTCACTTACGCACTTCCAGAAAGCGGCCTGGAGCGTGGCGGCGGCTGGGTAGTGGAGGTAGTGGTAGTTTGCCATAAAGAACAAAAATGCTTCTGTTGCTGGAGAAATTTCTGGGGCTTGGAGGTTATCTCTTAAGAATCTATAAATAAGCCAGACCCCACCTCACCTCACCGTGGTTGGAGGCCAAAGCTCTGTTTGTTTCATGTTAAGAAGGTAACTATAGAATGCCAACTGTGTCCCATTTCATATGTCATGTAAGTTTAAAATTTACCACCTTTTGATCTCATTTTCATTTTTTAGTAGTCTGTTGAAATAATCTGTAACTGGCTGTGATCAGTTAATTGTAATTGATGCTGGAGCTGGAGCAATAGCACAGCGGGTAGGGCATTCTTGCACGCAGCAAACCCGGGTTCGATTCCTCCACCCCTCTCAGAGAGGCCAGCAAGCTACCGAGAGTATCTCGCCATCACAGCAAAGCCTGGCAAGCTCCCCGTGACGTATTCCATATGCCAAACAGTAACAACAAGTCTCACAATGGAGACGATACTGGGCCAGCTTGAGCAAATTGATGAACAACGGGAGGACAGTGACAGTGACAGTTGAAATAATAGAATATGTGCCGTTGTTCCTCCTCCCCCCTTTTTTCCCCTCTCCTGAAGTGTTTTTGGGTTATACTTGGCAGTTCTCAGGGCTTACTCCTGGCTTTGCACTCAGGGATTACTCATGACAGTGCTTGGGGAACATGTGTAGTGTTGGGGAATCAAACCTATGTCAGTTGTATGTAAGGCAAGCACCTTACCTGCTGTGCTAGGTCTCAGGCCATAGAATATGTTCTTAATTGAAGACTTTTCATAAGGGGCAATAAAATCTTTTACCTTCCACTTTAAGTTGCTCTTATGAAGTGTTTGAACAGTGATTACCAAGTGAGTCTTCTTACAGTCCAATTTAAGATGATTTGATAGGTACACTTTATTTTCATTCTGTGAAGCATAGCATGTGGATACCAGAGTCTGATTGAAAGGAAGTAAAATCAGTAGAGCAATTAAACATTAACAAGGTGGGGGGCGATTATGCTAAAGTTATGTAAATAGTTTTAGATTATGTAGAAGTAATTATATTTTTCAGAGTAGTTGACAGGGCAAAAATTAGATTGCTTATTCATTTGAGACTTAATTCTGATTTATTTTATTTTTAAAGGTCATAATGGTTGTCTCATTTTGAGCCTTTATTTAATTTCTCGCATGAAGGTTATTACATGATGTAGATAAGTAAATTGTGCCTTCTTAATGGCAAAGTGATCATAAAAATTTGAATTTGCTTCAAATTTTAAAGTGTCTTACATAAAACATCTTTTATGTTTTAAATACTTTTTTGTAGTAAGAATTTAAGACTTCTTCCTTCGTTTTTGTTTGTTTGTTTGTTTGTTTGTTTTTTGAACCACACTTGTCTATGCTTAGGGATTACTGTGCTCAAGGATCACTCCTGACAGATTTGGAGAACCCTATGGGGTACAGGAGATCATGGCTTGAGTGCAAGGCAAATGCCCTATCCTCTCTGAACTATGCCACTGACTCCTATTTAAGAATTTCTTTTCTGTGCTTTTTTTGGGTATCCTTTAGGGATCAGTTAACAAGAATTTTTAAAATATAGATCATTTTGTTACAGTGCATATTCCATTTAAAATTAATCTCGTTTTAGAAATTTATTACATCTTGATTATGCTTTCCATTTTTCTAAAAGTGTTGCTGAATCAGTTTGCTAGTATTTTATTGAGAACTTCTGCACCTTGTATTCATCTGTAGATATTGGTCAGTAGTTGCATTTTCTCATAGAATTCTTATCTTTTTATATTAGTGTAATGCTGACCTAAATGGAAATGGGCATTTACTGAACTTAAGCATGTTACCTCAGTTTGTCTTAAACTATGTTAGCTACGTATTCTATATGTATTGTACTCCTCGTGTGTAAATGAAGGGAGTAGTTTCTCCCTGTAGAATTGATCTTTGCATATGATCACATGCCAAAAAAAAAAAAGTCAAAATAGCATTCTCTGTGTAGTATTGCTGCTTAGTACGGGCCAACCATCATTAACATCATCATTATTAAAATATACTGCATTTTTAGGGATTAGGGATATTTTTAAAATGAAGGTGGAAACAAATCTAATCCAAGATATTTGGATTTTATGCTGTGGGTAGAAGAAAGGAGTTAAAGAATATTTTTAAGAAAGGGGAGCTATAATAAATGTAGATTTGGAAGATGAACCAAAAGATGTTCTGGAGTTTTATTGGATATCCTTAAAGGTATAGGCATAACCAGATACAGTTTCAGATTCATAAAAAAACATTTGCAATCTAAAAATAAATTATGCTCAGTTTTTTCTTAAATTGAATAGTATAAAGAGTTAATTATTATAGTTGCTTAGAATAAGAACTTTAAAATAAAATACAGTAAGATGTTGGTAACTAACTTTTAAAAATATACCAATACAGGACAAAGTATGTTTAGTCCAGCAAATATTGGCCAACCACGGAAGACAACATTATCTCCTGCCCAGTTGGATCCTTTTTTTACTCAAGGAGATTCTCTGACTTCGGAGGATCATCTGGATGATACTTGGGTCACTGTATTTGGGTAAGGTTTATGGGTTATTTATATGAAAAAAAAAAGTCCCCAGTATTTTATAATTAGTATTATTATAAAAATTTTAAACCAAAATCTCATACACATCATGGAGATTCTACAGTTTAAATTTTGCTAGATTTATATATATCCTTGTATTCTTTCATTATTTTATCTCTTTTTTTATTTGTGTATTTCAGATTAAGTTGCAGATAAGTATGTTAATACACATACTTCAGTATATTTTTTTGGCGGGGCAGTAGGGAGGTAGCCCCAAAGCATGATTGGAGAGTTCACAGGCTCCAGGTGACACTAGGCTAAACCAAGGAAGATGTGCTAGAGCTGGTTCATGCTGTGCTCCTTGGTACCTTGAAGGCTAGTACCTTGTATGCTCAGGGGGCCATGCTGTGCTGGGAATTGAACCGAGGGTGATAGCTTGCAAGATGTGCAGTCCTGATCTTTGTGGTGTCTCCAAGATCCTATTGTTTTGATTCATACTGTTTTTCATCTATATTTACCTCTTATAAGAGTTTTTTTTTCTTGACATATTTGCAGGATATTGAAATAAGGTTGCTTTGATTTTGGGAGCTCCAGTATAGTAGGTGCACGTTTATGTGCACATATCATAACAGTTGTTACTTATTCTGTACTTAAAGAATATTGGATAGATTAGTAGTAGTAGTACATGCAAGTCCTAGATGTATTTTTAACAAGCTTTTAAAGCTTGTTAGAGCTTAGAGATCATATTGCCTCACTTATGTATGAAGAAACTGAGGTATAAACAGGTTGAAATTAGGAGGTCTGTTATATCAAGTTTTTAGTAAAATTTGATCAGAAAACCCAGTTTTTGTTTGTATTGTTTTAGTTTTTATTTTCAAGCTGAACCTGTTTATTTACTGTTGCTTCAAGTTTGTTTCTGAAACAAGACTAGGACATTGGGTCCTTAATAGGAAGTCTGCCACAGTGTGGAGGGCAGAGGGGGGACAAGGTCATGGAAGGGACCACTGTGACAATGATAGAGGACAGTGGTTGCTGTGGATGAGAACTGAGTGCTGAAATGAGGCCAAGTGATATGCATGATACCTTTTTTAGTAACAGTATTGCAAATCAGAGTGCCTAAAAGGAAAAAAGAAGAAGGAAAAGTGTCTTCCATAGAGATGGGTTTTGGGGCTGGAAAGAAACTGAGGACATTGGAGGAGGGAAGTGGATGCTAGTGAAGGGATTGGTGCTTGATCATTGTATGGCTGAAACCTAAGTCATTTCTGGAACTTCCAAAAGTGTGACATGTTATACTGATATTGGACATTAGTATGTTTAGTTTTGGAGTTAAAAAAAAGATTAAAATAACAATAGCATCTTGAAGAAAGCTCAAAGCACAATACACAGTATCTGTTAGTGGCCTTTGTGTAGTTTGTGCAATTGAAATTTGAAATTCAAAAAGCAAAATAAAAATAATAAATTATCATGGTCACGGTCCTCCCGTTGTTCATCGATTTGCTTGAGCGGGCCCAGTAACGTCTCCATTATGAGACTTGTTACTGTGTTTGGCATATCGAATATTCCACGGGGAGCTTGCCAGGCTTTGCTGTGCGGGCAAGATACTCTCAGTAGCTTGCCGGGCTCTCCGGGAGGGGCGGAGGAATCGAACTTGGGTTGGCCATGTTCGCTGCGTGCCAGGCAAACACGCTACTGCTGTGCTATTGCTCCAGCCCAATAAATAATAAAAATAAATAAAAATGTTTTCTTAACCACTTTTCTCAACTTTGACAATAATTGCTGTCAGTGTTTATGTAACCTTAAAGACAATGTGTTTTTGATTATGTAAAAAGCATTGAATTCACTGTTTTTGTTTTCCAAAAATTTATACTCAGTTCTGTCCCTAGGCACTGGACTGATTTCCTGTGGGTTTTTTTTAACTTTAAAAATTTTCTTCTGAAATGACTGTATGTTTTTGAACATTGATATCCATTCCCAGGTTTGTTTTGTAGACTCAGTAGTAATTAGCATTCCGCAGTAGGGGCTGAAGTGATAACCTTGGACATAGCTGACCCTGAGTTTGATCCTGGGCACCCCTTACGGTCCCCCGAGCACCACCGGGTGGGGCCCAAAATAAAAACAAACAAGAATTACTTCTGAATGTGATATTTTTTCATGTAGGTTTTAGTGTGTAGGGTTTTTAGTTTATTTTTGTGTAAATTTTTCTTTAATGATTTAAGTTTAAGATTAAAATCACTTATAACAGAAAATCCTGTTTTTCAAGTTGCAAATAACTTTATTATTTGAATTACAAAAGTAATTCTGTCTCAGGCTGGAGAGTGGGATAAGGGGCTTCCTTACCCATTGCATACATGCAGCCCACCCAGATTCGATCTTCAGCATTCATATCGTCCCCTGAACACCACCAGAGTAATTGTTGGGTGCAGAGCCAGGTGCTACCGTTGAGCATCAATGAGTGTGGCCCCCAAACTAATAATGCCTCATTATTAAAAAAAAACAGACATCACGTGTGGGGGCGTTAGGAGCAAGGAATCTGCTCAATGCCCAGGAGAGCTCAATGCCCAGGGTGCTTTCAGAATCTGACCCAAGCGGATCTATAGCTGGACAAGCGGCTGACCAGGGCAGCACCAAGGTCAAAGCCCCGAGGCTTAGGAGAGCTTGGCTAGAGGCAGGTCAGGAGAGTCCTAGCACCTAACACCTAGCACCTAGCAAGCACAATGTGGAAACGGCTTTGTGACTGTGGTCACCCTCTAGGGCTGCAGGTTGGAGACATGCCTGGGGCCGAGGGGTCTCACGCTGGGTCCTGTCTGGTGCTGCAGCCCTGGTCTTGTTGGGGAGGCGGGTCGGGACTCTGCAGGCATGAGAGGAATGGAGGGAACCAGTCAGGCTGGAGACGTGTGCAAAGAGTCCGGGCCAGGCTGTGGAATGGCTGACGGTCACCCCAGCTTTCTGCTCTAGTGTCCAGAGGGGGACAATGGAGGGCGGTGGTTGGTGAAGCAGAATGAGGAATGCCCGGGGCTGTTTTCCTTGGCACAGAGCACCTGTGAAATTGCTATTGCCCGCACAGAAGCTGGTGGGGGGGACCTCACCCATTTCCACAGTGTGGTGTCCATACCAGACGGGCTTTTAAGAAATAAAAAGCGCAGTCATGGCTCAGGAGTCAGGGATCCGGGCTAGTCCAGGGGTCAGAGGAGTGAGGTTCCCCCATGCTATGCTGGTCTGAGTCCCCTGGGCTTCGGAAAGGGAGCTGGAGCCCAAGCCTGGCTTCAAGACAGCAGCATCGTTGTGGCACACAAAGACACAGGCTTGAGGATTGCTCAATATTTTCTCTCAAACAACTGGGCAGAATCACAGGAAGTTGTAAAAATGTTCAGTTAGGGAACGGCATTCCCTTCATCCAGTTCCACTCAATGGCGGTCTGTCTCATGACTGCTGTAGATAACCAAAGCCAAAAACTAGCCCTGAGACTTTTTGGAAAACAATATGGGCATTCCTTTGAAAACTAGAAATCGAACTGTCATATGACCCCTCAATACCACTTCTGGGAATACATTCCGAGGATGCAAAAAGCACAGTAGAAATGACATCTGCACCTGTATGTTCATTGCAGCACTGTTCACAATAGCCAAAATCTGGAAACAACCCGAGTGCCCGAAAACAGATGACTGGTTAAAGAAACTTTGGTACATCTTAAAATGGAATACTATGCAGCTTTTAGGAGAGATGAAGTCATGAAATTTGCTTATAAGTGGATGGACATGGCGGGCATGCTGAGTGAAGTTAGTCAGAAAGAGAGGGACAGACATAGAAGGACTGTACTCATTTGTGGAATATAAAATAACATGGCGCCGTGTAATCCCATCAGCGGCCAAGACTCAGAGACTATAAAATCCAGATCCCGGAACATCTTATTATCTCATTCCTACTTTGGACAAACTTGCAGGCTATCGAATGTAGCCTGCCCACAGGGCAGAGTCTGGCAAACTCCCCGTGGCCTACCAAATATGCCAAATACCAGTAACAATGATGGGTCTCATTCTCCTAAAGAGCCGTGAATATAATCTCAGGGCTAGGATGAAAGAGACCTTACTGGGGCCTGCTCGAGGCAATCGACGATTAACAGGATGATGAAATGAAATGAAATTAAAAAAAAATTAGGGGAGGCACACTGATTGACAAAGTTATTTGTAATAGAGTTTCAGGCATACAGTTTTTCCACCTCCAATTCATTATTAAAATACCCAAACTACATAAAACTTTATATAAAGGGTAAAGTAAAAATTAGAATTCTTTTGTTTAGACATATGCAATTAAAATTTCTGTGATTCATCTTTTTAAAAAGATACTTCGGTACTATTGATAATGAGTACTGACTTTCATTTTTGTTTCAGAATAAAATTTTTATGTGCTCACTGTATGTTATGCCTTTAGTTAAAAATGTTTTCCTTTTTTTTTTTTTTTTTTTTTTTGCTTTTTTGGGTCACACCCGGCAATGCACAAGGGTTTCTCCTGGCTCTGCACTCAGGAATTACCTCTGGAGATGCTCAGGGGACCATATGGGATGCTGGGAATCGAACCCGGGTTGGCCGCGTGCAAGGCAAATGCCCTACCCGCTGTGCTATTGCTCCAGCCCCAAATTTTTTCCTTTTTAATAATCATAGTATTCCTAATTATCTTCTATACATGCATACATAGCAGTAGGGCGTTTGCCTTACAAGCAGCCAGCATAACCGACCCAAGTTCGATTCCTCCGCCCCTCTCGGAGAGCCCGGCAAGCTACCGAGAGTATCTCGCCCGCCCGGCAGAGCCTGACAAGCTACCCGTGATGTATTCGATATGCCAAACACAGTAACAACAAAGTCTCCAATGGAGACATTACTGGGCCCGCTCGAGCAAATCGATGAACAGCGGGAGGGCCTTTACTTTACTTTTACTTTTGAAGTAACAGTATTATATGTATATATAAATATATATGGGCTGGAGCGATAGCACAGTGGTAGGGCGTTCACCTTACAAGCGGCCAACATGGCCGACCTGAGTTCGATTCTGCCGCCCCTCTCGGAGAGCCCGGCAAGCTACCGAGAGAGAGTATCTTGCCTGCATGGCAGAGCCTGGCAAGCTACCCTTGACATATTCGATATGCCAGACACAGTAACAACAAAGTCTCCAATGGAGACGTTACTGGGCCCGCTCGAGCAAATCGATGAACAACAGGAGGACCGTGATGCAACATGCATACATAGCACTGAGCTGTAGCACTGTAGCACTGTCCTCCCATTGTTCATCAATTGGCCCGAGCGGGCCCAGTAACGTCTCCATTGGAGACTTTGTTGTTACTGTGTTTGGCATATCGAATACGTCACGGGGAGCTTGCCACGCTTTGCCAAGCGGGCGAGATACTCTTGGTAGCTTGCCAGGCTCTCAAAGAGGGGCGGAGGAATCGAACCCGGATCCGCAGGGTTGACTGTGTGCAAGGCAAACACCTTACCCGCTTTGCTATTGCTCCAGCTCATGCATACATAGAGTTGTGAAAATAATTTACCAGATTATCATTTCATTCATCTTTTCTAAGGGCTCTCATGATGGCAGTGAGAATTTTAGAGATATGAGGATGGAAAATGACTTGAATAAAAATCCAAAAATATAATTTTAATGTATTTGCTTTTGGGTGATGGGCGGCCATAGGTTTAGCTGATACATGAAAACCAGATGATCAGGGATCTCCTATTAGTGGCAGAGAGTAAAAAAGGATTTTCTCTCTTTTTTAAAAAAAAATCTATTTTTATAAAGTTGTACAATAACTTATTACATTTAATATTCCAACACCAACTCCACCACCGTCATATCTTCCCACCACCATATTGTGAATGCTTCCATCCCCTACTCCCAAACCCTGGCCCAAAGCAGGATTTAAATGATTTATTTTGTATTACTTGTTATTAATAATCTGCTAAAAATGATCCAAAAATGTTTCCTTAGAGGAAAGTGTGTGAATGGTTATATTTTATCCTTGAGCCATTAAGCTTTTGTATAAGAGATTACTAACATGTTATTAAAAGTTTAGCGTCATGTGCTTATATATATATGTATATTTATATATTTATAAATATATATATATATATATTTTTTTCCCCCTCTCCAAGATTGGTTGCTTTCTGCTCTAGATCCCATCAAAGTAGTAGTGTGCTACTCTTGGTACATCAGTGGTATAGAGTGTGAGATGTTGCTTCAGGGATTCTAAAATTTTAAATACAATGATACAGCTGAGGTTAATTTTTTTTTTATTATTATTATTTTTTATTTATTTATTGAATCACTGTGGGAAAGGTTACAAAGCTTTCAGGTTTATGTCTCAGTCATGCAAATATCAAACACATTGCCCTTTACCAATACTTATTTTTTAAAACATTTATTTAAATACTTATTATTATTATTTAAATACTTATTTAAACTGGATGGTGAATTTGGGATCTGGAGGCATCTCTGTTGATCTCATTTTCCTCTTTTCTGAGAGATTTATTTGCGAGTCCCTGAATTAACACCAAGAATGAACTTGTATGGGGCCAGAGGCAGTTCAAGAGCATGACTGCCAGGCTACCAGAAACACAGAGAGATGGGTCGAGGTTGCTTATTCCCAGTTCTGTGTTGGCCTGGAGATTTCAGTCATGGGTCCTGCATGCCTGGTTTTTTCAGCAGATTCACTCATGGATGAGGCTTGTCCGAGCCCGTGAAGATTGGCTGTGCTTAAGCATGGCAGTGATTGAGTTCTAGAGGTTTTCCACTGCTGGGTGGGGTGGGGAGGGGATGTCACCCATCCCCCTCTAGGTTGCACCAGATGAGAAAGCCTAGTTTGGGGTGCAGAAGATTTTCTCTTCTTTAATTGAGGAAAATAATAGTATCATAGTATAGTATTAGCTCGTTATAATGTTTTAGTATGTTCTTTGTTTTCTCCTTTAAGACTCAATTTAGTATTTCATGTAATAATTGTATAGCTGTTACTACATTTCTTCAGTTCTTTTTTCCGAATACTATTTTTTAATAGAACTATAATTGGCATATAACTTTAATTTCAGATATACAATATAATATTTCAATTTTTATTTGTATTGTTTCAATTTTTATAAAGTTGTTCACAATATTTGATTACATTTAATATTCAAACACCAGTCCCACTAGCATTATACCTTACCACCATCATATTTCCATCCTGAACCCCAAACCCTTCTCCCCAAGCAGAACTAAAATAATTTATCTATTTTTTAATACATTGTGAAATGATCACTTTAGAAGATTCAGTTAATGTCTGTTAACTTACATAGTTACAAATACTTACCTTGCAGTGGAAACTTTTAAGGTTTACTTCCTTAGCAACTTTTAAATATGCCATCACTGTATCACTGTCACTGTCATCCCGTTAATGTTAGATTTACTGGAGCAGGCGCCAGTAACGTTTTAATTGCTCCAAGCCCTGAGATTTTAGCAGCCTTTTCTTACTCGTCTTTTCCCAACGATTGGAGGCTCTTTCAGGGTCAGGGGAATGAGACCTATTGTCATATGCTATACAATATATTTTAGACACCATGCTGTACTCTATAAGGAGGGAATTTACTTTAAAATATTTGTGTGTTCAACATTTGTATTTCTTGTGGAAGCTGACCACTTGTACAACTTTTTTTTTTCTTAAGGTTTCCTCAAGCATCTGCTTCCTATATATTACTACAATTTGCACAGTATGGAAATATCTTAAAACATGTGGTAAGGCTTACCTTTTACTTTAAGATTTTTTTTGTTTGTTTGCATATTTGTGTCTTTGTTTATGTGTCACTTAGCCATGCTCAAGAGTCACTCCTGGCTATGCTTGCCAGGTGTCTGAGGTCTCTCTGTGGTGTCTGAGGATTAAAATGGGGTTGTCAGTATGAAAGGCAGATGCATTAACTCCTTTTCTATCTCTCTGGTCCAATAAAAGAAACTTTGCTAGTGAAGTTTAGATTTTTGTGGGGACAAGGGGAGAGTTGGTTTTATTCAGCGATGCTCAGAGGCTATTCGGCTCTGTGCTTGGGTATTGTTCCCAGTGGTACATATTTGCTGGTGAATTTTGCCTATTTTTTGCTATACTTCAGTGTTTCTTTTCTTTCATTTGTTAACTTTTTATAGAATGTATGTGTTTTGGATTTTGAAGGAGTGGAAGTTGCATGGTGGTGGCTGGTCCTGGAGGTCTTCGGCTGCCGGAGCCCTGGTCGGGGTGGGGAGGAAAGCTCAACCCGCTCCCCTCCAAGGGGCCCTGGCCGCGAGGACAGTCAGGCGCGGAGGCAGGAGACTGCACTGTTCTCGTCCTGGAGCTGGATTTTATAGTCTCTGAGTCTTGGCAGTTGATGGGATTACACGGCTCCAGGGGGCCAGGTGGTAGGTGTGTCTTATCAGGACATCTTTTTATGACATCTTATTATCTCATTCCTACTTTGGACAAACTTGCAGGCTATCAATGTAGCCTGCCCACAGGGCAGAGTCTGGCAAACTCCCTGTGGCGTACCCAATATGCCAAATACCAGTAACAATGATGGGTCTCATTCTCCTAAAGAGCCTTGAATATAATCTCAGGGCTAGGATGAAAGAGACCTTACTGGGGCCTGCTCGAGGCAATCGATGAATAACAGGATCGAATAACAGGAAGTTGCATAGTGTTAAAGAGAAAATAAAGGTAGGGCTGGGGAGAGAGTTCAGTGGGTAGAGCACTTGCCTTGCGTGCATCTGACCCAGGTTCGATCCCTGGCCCCCAGGTAATTCCTCTGGTAATTCCAGGAGTAATTTCTCAGTGCAGAGCCAGGAGTTACCTCTGAGCACCTCTAGGTGTAACCCCAAAATAAAAAAGAATAGAAAGTAAATGCAAGAGAATGAAAGTTTTAGGCTTTTTACTCCCTTAAGTAGTACAAAATATCTTAAAATAGATAATTACAAGCATTACTGTTTTTACAGTTCTGACCTTGTTTAGTTGGGGATAAAAGGAAAGGAAGAAGTTATTGATATGAATTTCTTAGGTCTATTCTCCAAATTCACTTTGAGGGATGGAGAAGTGGGGTGGCATTGAGGAAGGTTTGAGCAGAGTCTGATCGTACTTCAGGGCTTACTCCTAACTCTGTTCTTATGCCCATTATTTTCCCTTGTTAGGAAGTTTTTATATATGTTAGTTACCTTGTACAAGTCATAAACAATTTTTTATTGTTATTAAAGAGAGACTTATTTAACTCATGTCAATTCAGATAAATGAAAAGAGTTTTAAAAAATTTCTTAATAAATGTTGATTTGAAGACTTTTTCCCCCTTTGTTTTTGGGCCACACTCTCAATGCTCAGGGTTTATTCCTGTTTTTGGGTTGTTTTTTTTTTTTTTTTTTTTGCTTTTTGGGATCACACATGGCAATGCTTGAGGGTTGCTTCTTGCTTTGCACTCAGGAATTATTCTTGGCGGTGCTTTGAGGACCATATGGGATGCAGGGATTGAACCCTAGTCAGCTGCTTACAAGGCTAATGCCTAACCCAGTGTACTGTTGCTCCAGCCCAGCATTTATTCCTGGATCTGTGCTTGGGGATCACTCCTGGTGCGGCTTGAGGAACCATATATGGTGCCGAGGATCGAACTTGGCTAGGCTAAGTTCGTGGCTATGCAAGACGCCCCCTGCCCTCTGTTTTTTGGGTTTTGGGCCACACCTGGATGTACTCAGGACTTAATCCTGGCTCTTCAATCAAGGATTCTTCCTGGTGGGTTTGGGATATCATGGGGTACTGGAAATCGAAACTGGGGCAGCTGCATACAAGGCAAGTGCCCTATCAACCTATCAACTGTATTTTTCTCTCCAGCCCCTTGACCTTAGCATTTTATAAGAAGTTATCTTTAGAGAGTTACTTAACTATCAGGATATTTACTACCCCTGCATATTCTTTATATTAGAGAGCTGAGATCTAGAAATAACTTACATTAGGATTGGAGTGATGGTACAGTTGATAAGGCACTTGCCTTTCACATGGGTGACTTGGGGCAGGAGAGGTAGGGATTGATCCCTGGCATCCAATATGGTCTCCTGAGCCCTCCCAGGAGTAATACCTGTGAACAGAGCCAGAAGTAAACCCTGAACATGCCAGGTATGGTCCAAAAATCAACAGAAAAAGAAAATTACTTTGATAGTTGATAGAGTTTTTGTTGAATGCTACTTAACAGCTTTTTATAGACCATCAGATGAAAAGTGGCAATTATCTCTACAATTTACTGTTTTGATTTTATCTAGTTTATATTTTTGATATTCATTCTTTACAGATGTCTAATACAGGAAATTGGATGCATATTCGTTACCAGTCTAAATTGCAGGCCCGGAAAGCTTTAAGCAAGGATGGGCGGATTTTTGGAGAGTCCATTATGATTGGTGTAAAACCGTGCATTGACAAAGTAAGTTATCGCTGATATAAAATGCTGAGTAAAGGAGCTTAATGTATGTGAAGAATGCAAGATTTGATACTTTCGTATTACCACTTTTTTCACTGTCCCTTTTTCTTAAATGTGATAATTGTAACACTCCTCATGGAAAAGCAAAGTTACTTAGACACAAAAGTTTTAATTTTAGGGATAAACCATCTGAATCCCTTTATTTTATAAAGTAGAGGCCTAGAGGATTCAAGTAATCTATTTAATGAAAGGTGAAGCCTAGATTCTAGTACTTAAAACTTCTAACTTAGACTTTGTGCAAACCAATATCTTTTTCTTTAACTACTTTAAAGGAATGGTAGCTAAGGCTTTTTTTTAAGTTTTAATTATCACCAAAGTTCATGGTAAGTACTAAATTTGGTAACATCACTAGACACAAGTGCCAACCAGACTTATTTCTTGGAGCTTAACCAGTGGAGTGGATTTTCCCTCTTTGTTTTTGTTTTCAAATTCACTTGGAGTAGAGGTCAAATAAGGCCAAACACCTGTAAGCCAATTTCGGATTTATTATTTTTTCACCCCACTTTTATTGGATGATGATAATGAATCTTAAGTTACGTGGAATTATAAGTGATATGTTGTTCCTGAACCACCTTTTCTTGAAACTTGGAGTCTGTAACTGCTGGTAAGTCTATGCTGAATGTTCATTTATTAGTATGCCAATTCCCATCTTATCTCGAGATAGATCTGATACCAAGCCAGGTTTATTATGGTCACAATTGATTTACTGTGATACTGAATATATGGTACTAAGTCAGTTTCAAAATACATGTATTTTAAGTTTTGTGGCTACCTGCTAATGCATGGTGTGTGTATATACAGATTCGTGCACAAAGCAGACATGACTCTTGTTCTCATAACCTGATATTGCCAGTTGTACAGTTCCATTAGCCTATTGTGCTCTCACAGATATTCACGGTCTAAAGGAGAATTTAGGGTTTCTAGGTACTAGATTGTATTTGGACCATGGTCCTCTACAGTCCCCAAATTCCCCCAATTTCCTTCTCATCTTTGTGGCTTTCCCTAATGTTCTCTTGGAAGATTTCTTTTTGGGGGCAGGAATAGGGAATTCTCCCTTGTGGTGCTCAGGAGGTTCGAGAACTTCACTGGCGGTTCTTGATCTGCTGGGCCGGTGGTTCCATGCCAAAGCTAGAGGATATGATGCTACTTGGACCTTGCAGGGCAGGAATAATCTGTGCCACTCCAGTGGTGCTGGAGATTGTTGGAAGATTCTTTTGTGAGTTTTGCGAATGTTTGAAGTCACTAAAATGAGTTTCTAGCTGAGTGTGTAGTCTCAAATACTAAAGAAGACACCTACTTTTTCTTACGTTGGAAATTACAAAGTATGTATCTCTGAATTAAGTATTATTTGAAAGAACAGTAGAGTGTATATTATATTTATTAACTGAGAATTTCTTTACCTTTTTTCTCCAGAGTGTGATGGAAAATGGTGACAGGTGTACTTTATCATCTCCATCTCTAGCCTTTACACCACCAATAAAAACCTTAGGTACACCAACTCAGTGTGGAAGTACCCCCAGGATCTCTACCATGAGACCTCTTGCTACAGCATATAAAGCTTCTACTAGTGACTATCAGGTATTTGAGGGATTTTATAAAATGAGTATACTTAATTTAAATACTGAAGAAATAAAATTGCATGTTTACTTTTTTCTTTTAATTGGCTAGCTTTTTTATACTATTAAGTAGCACTGTCCTCGCATTGTTCATCAATTTGCTCAAGCGGGCCCAGTAACGTCTCCATTGTGAGACTTGTTGTTACTGTGTTTGGCATATTGAATACGTCACGGGGAGCTTGCCAAGCTATGCCATGCGAACGAGATACTCTTGGTAGCTTGCTGGGCACTCTGAGAGGGGCGAAGGAATTGAACCTGGCTCGGCCAGGCCAGCGGCTAGCAAGGCAAATGCCCTACCGCTGTGCTATTGCTCCTGTTTCCTATTTATTATTTGGAGCCCTTAAATTGAATTTTATTATTGTTATTATTTAGTGAAGGGCCATACCCAGTGGTTCTTGGCGACTGTTTTTAGCTCTGTTTTCACACTTAGTGTTGCTTGGGACATCATGTAGTATCGGGATTAAACTCGACCTTTTCTCTGCAGGGCATGCACTCTGTCCACTAAAGTATATCTTTGGCCCTAAACTCAACAGTTCTCAAATTTGCTGGTCTAAAACTCAGAACTCATGACTGATTAATAGAATACTTGAATTTTTGCATATTTTGCCGTTGGATTTGTTCATTTTTTTTTGGACTTGTTTTTTGGACTTGTTCACTTTTTGGACTTGTTCATTTTCTTCTATTGTATTTGCATACTTAAAAGGTTTCTCTTGTGACTCAGTTGCATGAGGAAATATGAAAGTCCTATTCATAAATTCGATGACCTCAGGTTGGAGTAACTTTGGTTATCTAAAGAAAACATTGAGTAGCTTCCATTTCAGTTTCTCATTGTCATGTTTAAAGACTGCTTTTAAAATATAATTTTAGAATATTTTTATTATTTTTATTGAACAGTGACAGTATGGTGAATTTTATTTATATATTATTGCCCCTACTTAATTAAGAACTATGAACTTTTTGGGCTGTAGGTACAGGCCCTGGAAAATGCATAAAAGACTTGTGCTTTATAATAAGATAGGCAGTAAAATGGAATACTTCCTCTGACATTTAGAGATCATTTTAGGCCTTTCTTTCCTCCCTTTAGTTTTTCTTTTTGTTTTACTGACATTTAAAATCCCTTTTAGTGTCTTGCATTATTTTTTTTTGTTTTTTTTTAACTGACATTTAAAATCTATAGCTTTTCTGTTCTTTTGTTTCCTAATTTTTTGAGCATATATAATTTTCTTTGCCAACAGAATAAAGTTCTACCATTCTTAAAAATATAAAGACATTGTAAGTCCATATTTTAATCTTTAAGCATATAATTCAGTGCTAAAAAATCAATTTAGAATTCTGAGTTTTTAAAATTAGCCATTAACTCTAGAATTTATTAGGCCTAGGCCACTAAGTAAACCATAACCTAACTTTTTTTTTTTTTTTAAATAGGTTGTTTCTGACAGACAAACGCCAAAAAAAGATGAAAGTCTAGTATCCAAAGCAATGGAATACATGTTTGGCTGGTAGCATAGTAGGAGGAGACTGCTACACTAAGACTGTTAGCAGAGTGCTGCTGGGTTTCCTTCGGTTAGTTATATAACCACGTTTGGCAATATTGGATAGCTCTCTCATATTTCCTTTTTTATTTAAGGATATAGCATATTTGTAGCTCACACTTCTAAAATGCTTGAGATCCCTTTTAAAGAATACTAATAATAAAAAACCCTGAAAATAGGACTTTGTAATTTCTGTTTATTAGTGCATGCATATGGACAAGAAACTCAGGATTGATTACTATAAATTTTATAGCTGAGTTTGTTGTGAGGCTTTGTGGTATTCATGAGTTATTGGAGTAAATTTCCTGTTACTTCTAAAGGTCACAAAGATTATAATTAATAATTTGAATTATGGACTTTAAATTTAGATAGTATTAAATATATCTCCTTGTTTATATGTCCTGTCATGAATTGTTACCTTTTAGAATCTGAAAACTGAAATCTTTTTAAAGATCTACTAAAGTTTCTTGATAATAAAGTTTGTTATTTATATGTATGGACTGTTTCTTGAGTGATTTATTTTTTGATATTATGATTTGAGCCGTGCTCAAGGCCATTCTACATGCTCAGATGAGCCTCACACATGAGCAAATGGGCAGAAGAACCCAGGTATGCGGGACCTGGGGCTGAGATCTCCAAGCCTGCTCGGATCGGAACTGGGCCTCCTCCACCCAGATATCCCATTTTCCAGTAGCATCACCCACAAACTGCCCCCGGTGCCATGTAATCCCATCAACGACCAAGATCTAGAGACTATAAAACAAAGCTCTTGGAAGCACGCAGCTGCATTCACAGCTGTGCAGCCTCTTATAGTCTAGCCCACTAATGTACCTAATATACATTCTCTGTCCCTCTCTAAGAGCCCAGCAAGTTATCCTGCCTTTACGGTAGAGCCTGGCAAGCTCCCTGTGGCATGTTCGATATGCCAAAACCAATAACAACGGGTCTCATTCCCCTGACCCTGAAAGAGACTCCAATAAGGCACCATTGAGAAGGACTAGTAAGGAGAGGCTGCTAAAATTTCAGGACTGGGACGAATGGAGACGTTACTGGCGCCTGCTCGAGCAAATCGATGAACAACGAGATGGCAGTGATACAGTGATGATTTTATTAATTTGCATATTTTTTTGCTTTTTGCTACACCTGGGTGTGCTCAGGGTTTTCTTTTTTTCTCCTTTTTTTAATTCACTGTGGTTTACAGAATTGTTTATAATACATTTGTTATAGGCATTCAGTATTCCAACACTATTCCCACCACCAGTGTGATCTTCCCACTACCATTATCCCCATATTCCCAGCTACCTCCCAAGTTGGCAAACAACATAATTTATTTTGCTTCTTGAAAATAAATGGCTAATGAAATTATTGAAAAATACTTAAGTAAAAGAAAATATGTGAACATTTTATATCTCATCATGGGGTCATTAAATCCTTGTCTGTGGGTTTGCCAAGCTGTTGCTAGTTGAACCTTTTGTGTTAATATTTTTGTTTATTGAACTTAGTTGACTTCTTTTACTTCCCCCTGTAATTTGGCATGCTTCTCCTGGGTTGTCGGTATTGTAGAATTTGTCGTGCGGCCATGTGCTCCAGAAATTCCAGAATAGTTCAGTGGGCCATGAGTTTACATGACTCAGTTGTGGGATGTGGGTGTGGCTGCCAGGTTTCTGGAAGTACATAGGGTAGTGTGGGAAGGCTGTCTTCTCTGAGAAGACCCCGGAGTTCTCAGCCTGAAGACCCATGTAACTGGAAGTTTTGGCAGTTTCGCCCATCTGCAGATTCTAGTCATGAGGCCGTGGAGTAGGGCTGTTGGCATGGAGGCAGCTGTGGGGCTGCGAGTGTTGCTGCCGGGGCTTAAGCAGGTGGAAATTCTACCCCCCCCCCCCCCCCCATGTGTCTGCCTTCTCCTGGTCTTGTGATCAGTGACCACTTCCTGGAGGGCCTCTGGAAACCATTTGTGGTTTTAGAGATCAAAGAGCATTGCATGCAAGGCAGTGCTCTATCTGCTATACTGTCTGACCCCTGAGACAGTTAATTCTGATTGCTCAATGTATAATGATACTGAGGTCATTGCGCACGCATAGGCAGAACCTAACATCATTGAAAGTCCTTGTAAGCTTTTTTTTGGGGGGGGCATTTTGTGCTTATTTTGAGTTCATTTTGTTGAAATGTTTTTTGTTTTTTTTTTAAGACATGCAGGATTACACGAGGCTATACCTGGGTCATTCCTGATCTCAGCAATGGCACCTGGCCATGCTTGGGGGATCATGTATGATGTCCAGAATCACATTGGGGTTGGCTACATGCAGGCTAATCACCTTTATCCCTCTTTTAACATCCATCCCCATCGTGCTTTTCTCAGTAGATAAAGAGTATAAACATAATTTATAGAGTTTATAGAGTATAAACATAATTTTTACATACATTGGAAAACAAAAAAAATTGACTGTTTTAGTTGAGTCAATAGCTGGTGGAGGTGGGGGTTGGGGGTGGGACACAGAAGTGCTTTGTGACAGTGCTCTGGGCGCCATTTGCTACTGAACCCAGGCCTTTTGCATGCAAAACATATATTCCAGTAAACTATTCAGCTATCTCTTTGGCCTCTGTGATTTTATTTACTCTGGCGTTTTATTACTACAATTTAAAATAAATTTATAATAAGCCTTTATTCTTTTAAGCTTTGCAACATTCCTTTTTTCGTTTATTTGCTGGAATTCTCGAGCAAAACATTGTTTCATCTCCTAGGCTTATTTGGTTATCATAGAATACTTTCATACTAGAATAGTATGATAAATATCTGATCATTTCTCTATCAGCTTTCAGAACAATTGGGTTCTCGAGCAGTCTCAAAATTGGTGTCTTCATTTATATGCTCAAGACTTGCTCCTGACTGTATGCTCAGGGATCACTCCTGACAGTGCTAGGGTCGGGGGAAGGGGGATCATAAGTGGTGCAGGTGATCCAAATCAGGTATGCCTGTGTGCAAAGCCTTACTTACTGTACTATTTCTCTGACTTGCAATAAGTGTATTCCCCTTCCCGCTCCCCATATATTCTCATGTACATATAGCTTTTTTTCTTAGTGTTCAAGTCATTTGCAATTATTATTCTTTTGTTCAAATTATCTCTCTTGTCTGATGTGATTATTATTGGCTCTTGTGTGAAATGGCAGTTTTTAATTGAAATAATATTTCACCTTGGTATGTATTGAAGTAATCTTCATCTTTTCTTTAATACATATTTATAAAGGAGTAATATTGCATATTGAACATAAGTTCTTGATAAGCTTTTAAAATCACAATGAGCTACCCTTGAGACTAGTTTTCTGGGATGAAGTGATGGTAAAGAAAGTGCTAGCATGAATGAAAAACTATCATTACAGAGTAATTTTTTATGTGAAACATTCATATTGAAGTCTTTCTCTTCTAAAAATAGGGTTATATTTTCTATTTCTTAAGAACTCAATTATTCAGGGCAGAAATAGCTACTAAATCATTGCACTCCTGCATTTGTATTTGAATTACAGCGTTCTCTTTTGGAGGATGAAATTTGCTTTCCGGCTTAAAAAGCTTTCTTTCTTTTTTTTCATCATACCCAGTGATGTTCATGGTTTATTCCAGAAATTACTTCTGTTGGTGCTTGAAGAATCGTATGGGATGCTGGGGATAAAGCCAGGTCAAGGGCATGCAAGGCAAACTCCCTATCTATCTAGCCCCAAATTATTTATTTATGCATTGGTTTGGAGGCCATACCTGATGATGTTCAGGGTTACTTTTGGCTCTGCACTCAGAAATCATTCCTGGCGATACTCAGGAAATCATTATGCTGAGGATTGAATTCGGGTCAGCTACTTGCCAGGCAAGCACTTTACCCACTGTACTATCTCTTTGCACCCTCCCCATTTCTTAAATATTGTTTGACATTTTTTATTTGCTGTTTCTTCACTCTTTGCTTTTATTTTGTTTTGATTTTTGGGCCACACCTGGCAGTGCTCCGGGCTCATTTGTGGCTCTGAACTCAGGAATCACTGCAAGGACCATATAGGGTGCTTGGGATCAAACCCACTTTGGAAGTATACAAGAAAAATACCCTACCCACTATACTACGGCTCTGGTACCATTGAATTTTAAATAAAATTTCAGAGCCTGGAGCCATAGTACAGTGGGTGGGGTGCTTTCCTTGCACACGTGGCCAATCTGGGTTTGATTGCTGGCACCTGAAATGGTCCCTGAGTACTTCCAAGAGTGATTCCTGAGCATAGATTCTGACCACCTCTAGGTGATGCCAAACCTTCCTAACTCCCTCCCAAAATTTTACCTTTTTAAAAAATTTTTTAAAATTTATTTTTGGCTTACAACATTGTGAATAATGGTTTCTCGTGGATGTCATTCCAAAACTAAACCTATCACCAGTGTATCCATCTCCCTTCCCCAAGAGATGTCATTGCATCCATCACATAATTTATTTTTAAAAGGCCAGAAACCATATAAATGTATCAAACCAAAACTTTTCAAACTTAGTCATGTTTATTATATCCGAATAAAAAAATTTAAAAATAGAGCCAGGAAAATCACAGAATGCAAAGCATATGCAGCTAGAAAAGTTATCATGAACCAAGCTGCATTCAGCTTTGGAATAACCAATTTCACATAATAACAAAACTAGGTAAAGGTAAAACTAGTCATACCAAATTGTTAACAAAAAGTATAGGATAAGGAACAAAATGTCATCCTGTAGTCTACAGAGCAAAGTAAAAAGATGCCCTTATCAAATAGTTATATACATATACATTATATGTATATAACTAAAAATTATATACATATATGTTATTAGTGAAACACCATGAGGTACAGTTGTAGACTTAACATATTTTTGTGTTTGGGTTTCAGTTATACAATGATCAAGTACCCATCCCTCCACCAGTGCCCATTCTCCACTACCAACGAACCCAGTAGCCCTCCCACCCCCCCAACCCCCCCACCCTGCCCCACTTCTATGGCAGGGCATTCCCTTTTGCTCTCTCTTTCCTTTAAGGTGTTGGGATTTGTAATATGGGTATTGAGCGACCATTGTGTTCGGTCTATAGTCTACTTTCAGCACGTGTCTCGCATCTTGAGCGAGTCCTTCAAACACTCTTGTTGTTCCCTTCTCTGTCTGAGCTGCGTTTTCCCCCAGAATGTGCTGCCAGCTTCCAAGCCATGGAGCAGACCTCCTGGTACTTATCTCAACTATTCTTGGGTGTTCGTCTTCCATTCTGTTACTTTATATTCCCCAGATGAGTACAGTCCCTCTCTTTCTGACTCATAAAAATTATATTTTTAAATGATGGTTTGCATATGACAAAATAAGAGTACTAAGGTTGGAGAAATAGTACAGGGGAAAGGTATGTGCCTTGCACTTAGTCAACCCTTTTTAAACCCTGGCATCACACATACCACTTGAACACTGCCATGAATGATCCCTTAGCACCACTGGCCATCTCTTCTCCCCCTCTCCCAAG